GTGTGTGTGTGTGTGTGTGTGTGTGTGTGTGTGTGTGTGTGTGTGTGTGTGTGTGTGTGTGTATGCTTTAGGGCAGAGGTAGTGGGAGGAGGGTTGAGGACGCAGGCCTTAAATGTTTACCAAGGGACCCCAAGAGGCCTGGGTTTAGCCTCCCTCTCTTCTGATTGGCTTAGACAACTCTTCCTGTCAGCCTGTGAGTTTGTAATTGGGTGAGAGAGGAAGAAAAACGGGGGACAGGCTTGCACAAGATGGAGAAGAAGCACCAACCTTGCCAGGATGTCCACAGATGCTTCCAGATGTGAAAGGGTGAGACTAAAGTACGGATTAACATCAGGACATATTTTGGGGTAAAGGGGCCACCTTTGCTCCAATTTAGTACTTTTACTGGAAGAATGTTAAAGAAGTAAAAAAAATTATACTAAAAAGAAGTGCAATGAACTTAACTTTTCCAAGGGGGAAAAAACAAACAAACAAGCAAAAAAAAAAAAATTCTTATCTGAAAGTGTTTATCGGACGGGTTAATAATTGTTCAACAGAACGGAAGCCAAAAATATGAAATTCATTTGAGAAACATTTAAGTAAGTCTGCATGAGCTTGCCTCTTGACAGTTCTCTGCCATAAATTCTTGCACTGTGTAACTTGGCTTTATATGACCTCTGGACCCTTGGAAGTCATCAGCACAAATATGACTGACTGCTTACAGTGGACCTGTCTGTTGCCACATTCATTAAAAAATTTGCTACATGTGATGAACCAGAGTTGCAAAATTATGTTGATTCTTGGTTTTTTTGTCCATGTTGCAATGTTTAGTTTTTTTGTTGTTTTTTTCCGTTTGTTCTTGCTTTAGTTGTGCTTCATGTTTCAGATTTACTGACATGGATTAAGTCTATCCTTGGACTAAAAGCCTGAAATGAAAACCTTTTCTTTTGTCAAACTGAGATGTTGTTTTCCCTTAAATCTAGACTCTTTGTTTTAATGTGTAATAAATCTAAGTCAAATCAAGTAAATGGATGACTAGTGTGGTAAATATGGGCTAGTGAGCTGGATCCAGACATTTTCTTGTTGCTAGGGTTTTTTAAGATACCAGACTTTTCCAGTCTTGAGCAGTTCCTGTAACCTGTGGGATCTGCAAGATAAGATAAGACAAGATTACATAAGATAATGTGGAAGATAAGATAAAATGAGATAAGCTTGGATTCAGGAATCTTAAGATACTTGGACCACGTAATTTAGGCAAATGTATCCTGTGGGGATGGGGTTGTTTGCTGCCCAGTAAAGTCGTGGAGCCACAGCTGTAAATAGCCAAGGGTGCGGACTGAAAATTTGGCCTATATTTAGAGTTTGTCTCTAACACTGACTTATTGAGCGTTTTGTGAATTAGCTGCCATCATATTTTCAAATAAATAAACTACTAAAATATATGTTTTACAAAGATGGCAGGAGAGTTTGTGTTAGAACTTTTGTTGGGAAATACAGTTTCTACAAGTTAAGCCTCAACAGCTTTTTCTTTTAAGGATATTTTGCCCTTTTTGTGTCATACATTAAAATTGCCATTAATTGCCATACAGGATTTCATAATTAGATCCAAAGTGCCAAAGTCAAACTACTTGTTGGTTTCTATCTAAAATATTTTGGTCTTGAAAAGCAAGTTTGTTGGGTTTGACATTCTTGGCATCATTGTGGATTTAGATAACTACTTTTTGCTTACCCACCAGAAACCGACCCTACAGAAAATGCTAATAACTCTAATTTAGCAAAGATCTATAATTCCCAGCTGATACAAAAGGAACATGATTTTCCCAGAAAGTTGGTTCTGTTCAAGCGGATGTGACATTCTCCCACTGCAAATCACAGAATCAAGTTTCCGGAATTTCCTTACCTGGATGATTAAGCATGGATCGGAACATGATTTTATTCACTCAAATGGTGACAGCTATTCCAAACAAATGCTAATTTTTCTTTTTATTTGTTGGAAGTTTTAACTCACATCTGTTTCCACTAATAACTTTAAATGTAATAGTGCATCAGTTTTCCAATACTGACACATTTATCGTTAATAAACCAAAGAAACATGGAGCTAAGTAATGTTTTAAAAAGTTGCCCTAGCGCTAATAACAGGCTTTCAGGAGCATATATCTGTCTAATGATGTAATCGACTGTGAAACGAATGGATTTAACCATCTAAACAGTCAGAAGGTAGCGTGTACGTCATGGAAAAGTTATTTCAAGTAGCTGTAACTAATAGAAATGTTACTGAGATCTTTTCTGAAATGATAAAAAATGTTTTCTTTTAGAGTTCACACAAAGCGAAACAACACACGTAAACCCCACCATTCATATTTTCAGCTTTGAAATGCCGTAGCTGCAAACTCCCGTGATAATTCCTTACATCCTGTCCAGTGTTTGGTTTCATGTACACCAACTGAAATAAATAGCAGTCACAAATTGTGCTCACAGGCCAGAGAGAAAAAGATGGCGTTAGTGGGGGAAGGAGGCTAGTTCACATGGGAGTGGTGTCACCATGGAGTTCAGCTGATAATTATAATCACAGTGTCTCTGTCCTCTCTTATTCTATCCTCTGTCTCTCCACAGCATCATGGCTCTCTCACTCGCCTCTAATCTCCTGATTCTTCTCATTCTTTCCTCCCTGGATTGGCTGCCCTCTCCAGGATCTACATTTCTCACAGACTGGGACCACACGACATCATCAGGTAAGTTACTGGTGTTCTTACAGCTTTGTGTCACAACCAGTTAGAGTGAGAAATAACATGTGAGAAAAAAAACCTAATTCTTCTCTCTTTCTATGTTCACCTCATCAAATATTAACAAGTGTGTTTTGCGTGCAGCATGTTGTTGACACTTGTTATCACGTCTTTTGTCAGACATCAGTTGCAGAGTGCTGTTTGTTCAGATTCATGTGGAAAGGTTCACTGTTGAGCAAACGCTGCATTTTCCTGATCTGGCTTGTCAGGCAGGATAGTGATCAATAGACTCGGGGTAAATATATGACTGGGGCTGCTCTGTCAAAGTCCAGGGACAGGATGATGCAGGATGTTCAGCCAGCTAACCCAGGTGCCACTGATCTATCTGAAATAATTAGGTGAAAGAATACTGCAGATGAGGGAATGAGTTGATGTTGCCATAATTTACCTTTTAAAACCAAAAACTTGCAAACAACCACAAAATAAGTGTGAAATAATGAATTGACATATTAGCCCAATGATAGAAACAACTACAACTAAGGCAAAAGTGTCAAACCTGGAAAATAAAAATGGTGATTATTCTGCAACAAACAGGTTTGAGAAATTCCTAGCAACCCCCAAAAAGTGATCAGTCGAAGGTGGTCAAGAGGAAAATCTCTTGTGCAGCAGTGTCTGCATTCCTGGACGTATTTTATGAGGATTACTTCTGGAAGACGGATAAGAAGGCATTTTCTGACCAAAGTTTTTTTATTGCAGATGGACCTGGTTCAGCTTGGATAAAACAGAATTGACTCTTGTTCAAGCAATGAATCAGTACATTGTGGATTTAAGGCATCTATTGGGATTATAGTTGTGCACATTTGGATGAAAAGACTTTATTTCCATCCAAATTAATTGGCTGTAGTTTATTATGGTAAGGATTGTAGTCCAAAAAGATTGAGTTAGCAGCTTAACCATCAGCAGGCAGCTTAATTCTGTCTTAATCTGTTGATTGAATGTTTTTGTTTGATCCAGAGAAAGGCCTATAATTGAAATCAGATGCTCAATACATTTGCATACATTTAATGACGCTTAAAGCGTGCAAACCAGTTATATTTTGGCAAGGTAGTGTGCTCTGAGTATATTCTTAGGTGCATCTGTTCATTGCCATTAAAAGGTGAGCCAGACAGCATGAGTCAGTGACCTGAGATCTCCAGGCCATCTCTGGGCAGCCTGCTGGCTGCTGCAGCACCTGTTGCCAGAATGTTAAGCATGCATATTACCTGGAGAAACATTAGTGGAATTTAAACTGTTTGATTTCGGCCCTGCACTTGCACGTGCACGTATTACATGCAAACTATTTATCATTACCTTAGATTTGCATTAGTAAAATCTCTCTCTATACTTGGATTGCCTTTGAAAAAGAGCACCTAAGCATCGCAGCACATCATGTCTGCATGGTTATGGAAGGTATGGCATGCCTTATATGCTATTTTAAGTTATTAATAGTGCAGTTGACAGCATTGGACAATTTATTTCCCTCTCGTTTTTACAGTGCTTTTGATGTAGGTGACATTTAATAGTGTGCAGTGTTTTCCTGCTTTTAGAATGCAAACTCAGATTGCTGTAAGCAGAGAGTACAAAGAGCCTGCAGATCATTATGTTCAAGAAAACACAGCTTGATTGACTTATTTATCAGTACACAGTTTTATTGATTGAGTAACCAATAAATGGAATCAAGCAGTAGTTTTAGTTTTGTAATTTTGCCATATCTTCGGTATTCTTAAACAGGGAAATAGCTTGCCAATTTACTAAGACATTTCATCTTCCTTTGTATGGGTTTAATGAGAAACAGATGGAAAAATACCACTGGAATCCACCGAAGAATGCCAACTCATTGTGTTTTCTCCGGTCAAATTAAGATCAAGTCCACACTAGTGCATCTTTTCTATTTTTTTTTCCATTTGCTGTTATGCAATCTGCAGCAATCTGAAACACAGTGACAATAAATTAACGTTTCACCATCTTTTATCTAGCTAAAGTTCTTCTCTTTCCCTCATTTAAAGTTTTTTTTCCTATAAAAATAATTGATTCCTACTTTAAAATGTCTTAGAAGTAACTTTCCACCTTTGACTTCTTTAGTGTGCGGGGGTCAGGCCCCCTCCAACGGTCTGTTCACTGCTCTAAAACTACTTTATATTTAATTATGGCAAGTTGCAATTCAGTCATACATGTTCAGGATGGTACACAGGCTCTCTAGGTTGATTTTTATAGCAGGAATAAGTGGAATCAAGTTTGAAAGTTCAAGTGCTGAACATATTGTTATTTCTCTTCCCGATGCCAGTACTGGTGCAAAAGAAACCGTTCTTTCTCAGATTTTTGTTGTAAATCAGTCCATCTTCTTTGCCTCGGGCCTGAATTGTTATTTATAGTTGAGGTTCGTGTTACGGGTTATAATTTCTATGCCTTCCCGTGATTGTTTTCATATATTTTCTGATGTGGCAGGAGGAGGCGAGGAAGCAGGGAAAGGTACGTAGTTCAGGTAATAAATTTGGTGTAGCTGAGACTAATGTCTGAGGATACACTTTGAGCTCTGTGTCTTTGCCCTTGGGCCTTTTGACGTTGTTAACAAAGTGGATCAAATATCTTTATCTCTGTCACTTTTACAGTACCATTCTGATAAGCTCTCAGGAAAAACTGCTGATAACCAGGTGATGTCAAAACCATCGAACATTCTGTTTGGTTCACCTCAAATGTTGAAATGGTTCCCAGTGACCACTGTGGTAGTTCAGTCCTGGTCTTCCTCAACAACCGTTAAAACATCTGTAAACACAAAGCAGCCTGTGATAGCATGAGCAAACACATGCAGCCTGTGCCTTTCCCAAGCTCACCACTGCACAACTTCCAATCTGGACAGCTGCTCTTCTCACTACGGCTTAAATGGAAAATGCTTTGCATGGGCTTTTTTATATACCTAAAAAATAACGCTTACAGTAAGAATGCAGTCTTGTGCAGTATGTGAGCCACCCTCAGCATTATGCTTTTGGAGTTGTTTAAAATCATTTTGTTGCTCTGCTTATGGACTTAAAAGATTCTTCCTGGAATTCTGTGTCTGCAGCATATTTATGTCTGTTGTTAGGCGAGCCACAGAACAAGCCAAGAGTAGACATTTGGAGATGCTCCTATGTAGTTAAAGGCTTACCATAGTGATTATAGGCTGTGTTAGTCATTTCATTCTATCTATCCTTGCTCACATATACACTCACACACACTTTCCTTTTTCTTTTATTTTCTTCCACAACCTTCCTTCCTTGATTGTCTGTGTGGCTCAAAAGGACCTCACTCCTTAAGCGCATAGATTGATTCTGTTCAACAGGGCTGTGTTCCTTACCACAGAGGTGGTAGCTAGTGGTAACCGTGCAGAGGTTTGGTCCATCTGGCTTGTACACACAATCCACAGTTACATCTGCTTCAACGACAAGCGGTGGGTGTGAGCTTCAAAGTTGGGGCCTTGTGTGGGTAATGGTGCCTGAAGTTAAACACAAAGTTGGAAGAGCAGAAGAGAGACATGCATATTGTAGATAGCAGAAGCTGAGGGGAATTCATGGTTGGGAAAGTGCTGTGTGATGGAAGCAATGCTGCAAAGAAGACTAATTTAACATTTTGCATGCAGGAAAATTTGCCCTGATTTTCATATCTGTACATTGAATAGGAAAGTGTCATAAGCTGCAGGATGGATGGAGGAATACCAGAGGATAGATTAAAAAACATTTTCACACATCAGCAACAGTCCTGGACTGTTGTCTGCATTTCCTGGCAGAGAGACAAGAATTCAAATACCTGACTCTGACAGCTTGGACATTAAAATGTCTTTTCTCTGCCATGTCCAGAGTTCAAGGTCCATGTGGTCTGATTAAGCGCATGTGACACTAGAGCAGGTTATTCCGATGCATGCGCAGCAAATGAGCAGTTGCCATCTGACCCGACTCTTTGCACTCACTACCCAGGCAAGCACGCTTTCCTACACCGGAGTGCTGCCAGTGGCGAGAATGCATCTAAGATAAGAGAATGCATCTCATGCGGTGTATCTCCCGCTACACTCGCATAGATAACTGCAGTCGCTGTGCCTCGTTCTCTAATGTGATTGGAAATGGTCTTACTTTGCGCACTAAATACGTTTACACGACAAATTGTTGATTCACAAGAATCAGAAGAGTTGTTTTGAAATTGTGCTCATTATATGGAGTCTTCATACTGCAAATAAAGGACTGTGAGAGTTGTGAAAGTGGGAAGGTTGCTTTAAGACAGAAAGCTTCCAATTAAAGAAAAAAACTAAATGAAAATAAAGTTTTTTTTCAGGGGAGATAATAATTAAGAAGAAAAATGACAGCTATGGTGTGTTCACACCAAATGCAAAGCCAAGTTTCACTTTGCATTACTCACATACAAATACAGTAGATGGA